AGCATATTTTTTTATTGATTTTTATGTTATTATATTTTAAAAAGTGTCCACAATATTCTGGGAGGCCACTGTATTATCTTATTGAGAAGATAATCATATTTTTGTTATAAGTAAAATACATATAAATTATCTTATTAAGAAGATAATCATATTTTGATAAAAATAAATCTTATATATATCATCTTATTGAAAGAATAATCAGTTATATAATCTCTTAAAGCTATAAAAGTAAATAATTGCTATGAACACAGTTACTATTACTATTTTAAAATAATTACATACGCATAATCTTAAAATGGTAATAATATTATATTTTTAATATATTTATAAGATTAAATATTATTAATTAATCAAGTTTGAGAATAATAAATAATTTAATAATTTAATAATTTTATTAATGATTAATATTATTAGTTAATTAAATTTAAATATAAAATTATATTATAATAATTATTATAATTAACTAATCAAATTTATGTATAATATATAAGTATATATATAATATCATATAATAATAATAACTTTATTAATAAATAATAAATAATTTATAATATAATGCTAATAAAAAATGAAAAATAAAAGAAAATAATAAAAAAAGAATTAATAATATAAAAATAACATGACAAAAATAATGTAACTAAGATCATAAGATAAAGATAATAAATAAACTAATAATAATAATTAATATATTATTATTAAATCATAAAGAACTTGAAAATTATTAATAATTCTAAATTATTATTGAATAAAAGATGTGATTTACTAATTCGGAAGATTTTCTTAACTGATATTTTTCAAATATTATAGAAATGCACAACTGAAATCAAATAGATTATATTTTCATATTATTATAATTGTTTTCATTAATAAGAAATAAATATATCTTTAACTTTATTAATATAATATTTACATTTTGCTTGATTTGATAATTAAAATTTATATTAATTTTTTATGAATTTGTTGACTTTAGTTTAATAATTTAATGAATAATCAAATTACATTATTTCTTTGTTAGGCTTTCGAATTCTTGCAAATAATCTTCAACTTTAACTAATGAAAATGAAGATGGATTTCATAATAAGTTCACAAGACATATCCGATTGATTAAACTCTATTCCTCTAGAATTTATCCATTACAATTAAGAGTGAAAAGTTCATTATACATTTTTATATAACTGATATTAATAATATTAATCAACGTAAATAAAAAAAATTAGAAAAAAATTGTAAACTTTTTAAATAAAAAAAGAAAGCAATAAAAAAAGGGACTCAAATTTACAATAATAATATTAATAATAATGAATATACCCTCCAAATATATACAGCAAATGAAATTTTTTAATATAATAAATAATACGTAACCTATACCGACCAGATTATATTATTTTCATATAAAAAAGTAAGTATGCAAGCCGATCGGTCGCATTTGTTGAGTTTTCTGTGACAGCGACATCTTCGGCAGTAATTGGCGTGATTGTGGTGTCATCTACGTGTAACCATTGATTATTCTGTCGTAGAATATCGCAAGTATAATGTCCACCAGTTGCAGATTTTCCATGATGGTATACAACTATTTTTAATAACAAAGCAGTAAAAAAGTCGACTTTAAGTTCAATATAGTTTAAGTTATTGGAGACAAAATATCAAAATTATCTAAAACTAACCTCCTATTAGTTTATATGTTATCGGGCTGTGTTGTTTTCTATTCTTCGTTATGATATCTATTTAAATATAATAAGTAGTAGTATTATTATTATTAATTATTGATCATAAGGTGAAATTTTTGGAAAATTACCTGATTGTATATTAAGTAGTGTCGAGTATCCAACAGTTTTATGTAGCTTTTGAGCCCCACCGACATTATCATATACAAATCGTTTTAGATGAAGGATAAGAATTGGTGGTAGTATATCCAAATATAATCTTTTGTTGGCTTCAACCTTTTTAATAGAAATCAATAGCAAAATTAATAGAATAATCTACGTAGAGATAAAGACTTTCAACTTGAATCTCAAACTTACTACTGCTCCTTTTTTTGAATAATAATCATGGACTATTTCCGGTGCATTCATCTTCATCAAAGCATCCTCTACAGTACGAACATCATCAGGCTATAAAAATATTAATAATAATAAAATATCAGAATAAATTACCGATCCAAAAGATGATATTATAAAGAATTACCTGTATATCCAATTGTAATGATGAAAACGGTTGATAGGTAACCGAATCCACACTTCCCGGACACTTTAAGACAGACTTTACTTGACCACCAAATATTCGGCTGATCGGAGATTCCTATGGAATAATTAAATAAAAAATTATTTTTATTTAACCTAATATAACTAATACCAATATAATAATAATACAAACCAAACGAGCACTAGTAGCCTTATTTTTTGGTCCAACCTCATACCAGCCATCATCGACTGATTTACTGACATTCGAATGCGTCGATTCTCCTGGGACATTTTTGTGACCCGCAGTGTCTCCGGAATCAGGGCTCTTGAATGCTATAATAAATAATACTATTTTTAATATTTAACTTGTAATATTTAAAACAATTATAGACGAGCCAGATATTTAATGAGTTTGCTTATACCTGCTAATAATTCTTCATGAAGACCATCTAATAAATAACCAAGAAATTCTTCCGCGTCTTCTTGACGGCCCTTTTAAATAATCATCAATTAACTTGAATTCCATTATGAAATTATATATTACTAGTATTTTTATAATTACCTTCATCGAGTCAAATTTTTTTGTTCCACGTAGCGCGTCATATACGTATTCTGGAACAAATGACTCTCCAAAATTTCCTATTTTTAACAAAGGAATCAATTGAATTAGTTTCAGTGAGTTAAGTGCCATATTTTCATTATGATAATAAAGTGTATGCGTACCCTCATCAAGACCATCGAGTTTCGCCTCACGAAATTCTCTCATGAACTCGATTCTAATTATATTAATATAAAAATGGTAAATTTGATGCATAATATGATGCAAATGAAATCAAGTTAAAAGAAACTTACAAAGAATCAACCAAAGGCGTTTTACTATTAAAACTATGATTAACTTCGTTGCCTATTCGTATTAATAAGTTGTAGAATGGTGGACAATGTGATAAAGGTTGTAAGATCTAAATAGAAAAGATAAAAATTGAGAAATCACTCGATGAAACCATTTCGATTCATAGAATTTGATTTAATGCATACCGCGTTCATGAAACAAGTGTTGCCGTTGTTCACAAGTCCTCGAGGCTGCAACAATCGACTACTGAATATTGGTTGAAAATTAAGCAATACGTCTATAATGAATAGTCATTGATTTAGTTATTAATGATAAGATTAATTGTTTATTAATTAGTACAATTAATGAATGACACGAACCAGAGAGCGCTTCAGCCTTCGGTTTCCCGTTAATCGGAGAAACAACTGATTTTGGTTGTTTATATTGGCTTGGATTCTTATTAACTGAAGCACTCGATGTAACAGTACCACCTTTCTGAGAATTTTCAGGATTGACCCTAACAAGGTCTGCCCAACTTCTTGGTTTAACAGCAGATGGTGAAGGAAGATTTTCACTTGGAGGAAATGATGAAACGTTTGGATCTGTCTCATTTTGATGCCCATTTTTTTGTTTCTGTTCAATATAAACAACAGGCGACTTTGGTGGTGATGTTGAATGATTAGAACTATTTTGAAGACCATTAAGTTCTTTACTCTCATTAAACACTACGGGAGGCGGAGACTTTGGTGATAATGAACGGATCGAGCCGTTTGAGCTATTAGGTGAATTTCGAGACAAGTGGTTGTTACTTGGAAGATTATTAGTTTTAATCTTTAGAGAAGAAGCGCTTGAAGATATCTCTGAAGTATGTGTTGCATTTGATTCGACCGTTGAATTTGAAATGATTGGAGTTTTTTGATGCGATTGGAAATTGTTAACGCCGTTAAGTTTGTTTGATGGCATTTCCCTGGTAGGAACATTGGTAGCATTAGATTTGATTGACGACAATTCTTGAACACCATTAGGTTGGATCGCCGGCAAATGGTTAACAGGAGGATTAACACCATTAGGTTTTATCGATGACGATACATTATTAACGTTTGAAATATTTCCAGGCGCTCTTAGCCCATTGTTATTAAGTGCTGGTTTGCTTATTGTGCCAGCGGATAAATTTCCATTGGGAAATTTGTTGGTTTCATTCTTGATGTCACAATTGACTTTAGTGCTTGTATCGGAAGGTAATGTTATTGTGTTTGAAGAAATTTGAAATGGTATTCCATTCGGAATCCTTGTAGAACTGTGGGACGAATTTTGTGTTTCAACAAGGTTTTTTGTTTCATTAGAAGGAACCTGAGATTTTATCCCATTAGGATGAGTCTGGTTTCAAAAAATGAATAATTTTAGAAAATAATTAGTGATACCAACAAAAAATAAAAAAATAATTCTAAGTATATGAACATTTATATTTCTCTATTTATTAACCTGTTGAATCGATGTCGTATTTTTTGGAGTTGTTACAATCGGTTTAGATGTCGAATGTGTCTTGCTGGAATTAACAATTTTTTCTCGTGATGATGTTAATTTATTAGAATTAATACCACTTTGATATTCTGATATGGTTCGAAAAGTAATTTTAGAAACTAATATATAATGAGAATATATGATACTGCATATAGTGTACCTTTTTTATTTTTTGGACGCTCTAATGATTTTCCTGCTCTCCAAGGAACCTGAAATTATTAATACATAATATATAATATTAACATAATTTTTAAATCATTTCCGATGATACGGTAATTAAGCTAGAATTTTTTTTTTGCTTACCCAGATCTCATTTAGCCACCGGCCAGAAGTAATGCTATTGTAATAAAAGTATGCGTTGAAAAGTCCATATATCACTCACTTGACAGAAAATATATAGTATTGGCCGGTGGAAAATGAGACCCGAAGAGACATCAGGATATTTCAATTCTTTTTTGAAATGAAATACTCAAACTTACCGTTTGCGCAACTTGAAAGCCACCATGTGCCATAAACATGTCGATCTCCTCGCGAGACAAGTTGCCGAAACTTGGTCGCTTTGTTTTAAATATTTGCAACCAAAATGTTTTATAAACTTCTGACTTGTATTTAATCAAGCACAGAGACTCGATGAAAAGAATAGGCCAACAAACCTTTTGAGGATCTCGTCCATGCAAAAGCTTAAACTCCATTTGAAATATTTCGGCTTTACAAAAGTACCGTTAAGGGGTATTGTGAAGCCTCAAAGAAATCTTGACGCTACCTAGCTAGTAATTTTGTATGATTCTAAGGTAAGCTATAGATTTCGGTAGATATCTTTAAACTGTAATGAGCGAAAACTACAACAAAATAATCTCTGACAAAAAGAATAATGAGCTAAACATAGATTTGGTAGAATTGGATATTAGAACTAATCGTTATTTTTTATTTTCATCATTACTTGGAAATCGGATGTTGTACGACACTTGATCGGCATATTCTTTTTTCGATAGTATGAAACTGAAATTTGATTTATTTTTGATTTTATCACATAATTAATTAAGAGACGCAACGCATATAATAGCAAAGATTTCAAAAGAAAAGGCCCTTTTTCAAACTACATAATGGCATATATAGTACTACAATACAAAAACACAAAAGAATCCACGCGCCAACTATTTGTGGTTAGAAACAAGTGTGTCTCGAGACTTACAAATTCCATAGAACAAGATATTATGCAAAAACTTACAGGAAAAGAGCCAGATATTTTGTAATAGAACTGTTGAATGACTGGTCTATTTCCAGGATTTAAAAAATCGAACTGGTGAATTTCTGAAAATTAAACACTGATAAAATGTATATACAAAGACAACTCCGTTATAACGAACCCCGTTTAACCGAAGCACTAATTACAGCCGAAGATGGCTCTAGGATCAGTTATAGTAAATCTACCTGTTAAACCGAATTTACTAATGAAACCTCGGATAAACCGAATTTTTACTGATAGTCCGTATAACGGGATTGCCTTTGTATAATCAAATGTGAAATCAATATTGATCAATCTGATGAGAAATATCATGATTTATAAATATAATAAAGTCAATTCTCTATTTAAAATACTTATTTATATATTAAACTATCATAATAATTGTAATTTTAACATTATTTTTGATATTTTCTTTTATAATTCTTTTGAATATATATACAAGCTTTTTAATAATCTGATTATTTAAAGGAATTTTATAAATAAAATTCTTATCATTAATAATAAAAAACTCATTAATATTTATTATTGAAAGATGAAGTGTATTAACAAACTTATTAAGTATTAAATAATCAGTTTGATAAATATATCTTAATTAAAATTTTTTCAAGTCTTAATAATATTGAATTACTTGAAGAATTTTTTTTAAATCTTAAGCAAGATTATTTACTTTAATATTATTAAAAAATTGAAAATAAAATTAAGATAAATATTAATATTAAATAATATTGTTTTGAATAATTAATATAAAATAATTAAATATTTAATATATATATTTTTTAAATTTAATAATAATATTTTAATTAATAGATAATAATTCTTTATAAAGCTTTCTTTAATATTTTTATTTATTTTAAATTTATATAATTATTAAAAGAAAATATTTTCAGAAATCTCAAGTTTATAGTAATAGTCAAAAATAATATATTAGAAAGTTAATTCTATTAATAAAACATAATAAAAATTTAAATTTTCTCTTTATATTAAAGTTTATAACTTTATTAAAAAATAATTTTTATTTTTTTATATCAAAATAAAGTTTATAAATTATAATTTAATATATATTTTTCAGATTTTTCTAAAAGAATTATTTTAATTACAAAGCTAGTACAAATTTTTTTTTAACTAAAAATGAAATTTAATTAAAAAAATTTTGTAATAACTTTGTAATTAAAATAATTCTTTTAGAAAAATCTGAAAAATATATATTAAATTATAATTTATAAACTTTATTTTGATATAAAAAATAAAAATTATTTTTTAATAAAGTTATAAACATTTATATAAATAAAATTAATCTTTTGATATATTATTTTTAGTTATTATTATTTTATAATAATTTAATTTTTTAATATTATTTAAAATTATTTGAGATTAATAAATTAATATAAATTTTTTTAATATTAATTCAAGTTTTAAAATAATAATAAATTTATAATATTTAATTTTTGAATTTATAATTTTATAAAAAGTTATTTGAAAAATTTAATTAATTATAAATTTATTAACTTTAACTTTTTCTTTTTTTAATATATTTTATATATTAAATTAAATTCTTTTAATAATACATAAAGAAAAAATATATTTGTTATTACCAATAATAATACTAGATTTTTTTTGTGAAAAATTTTTAGTATTTTGATATAATTATCTTATTAAAAAATATTAATTAGTTTATTTTAGAGTAAAATTTTGTAAGAAATATTTTTTCTTAAAATATAAAAGGTAATTTTATATATAAAATTTTGAATTATTATTATTTTTTGAAAAATTATTTATTTTTTAAATTTTTTTGATCTTATAATTTAATTTATTATTATTTTTATTACATATAAATTCTATAATTTTAGTAATTAATCAAATAATTCAATACTATTACTAGTAGTGACAAATAAATTTATTTATATATAAATATATAATTCTTAATTTTAATAAAATAATTTTTATATTATTAATAAATAATATATATATAATAATGCTTATAATTATAAAATTAAAAAATTAATTTTATTAATAAAACATAATAAAATTAAAATTTTTTCTCTATATTAAACTTTATTAATTATATTAAGAAATAATTTTTATTTTTATTTAAAATAAAATTTATAAATTATAATTTAATGTATATTTTTTTTAAATTTTTAGATTTTTTCTGAAAGAATTATTCTAATTATAAAATTAATATAAAAATTTTTATTAATTAAAAATAAAATTTAATTAATAAAAATTTAAAAAATCTAAAAAAAAATATATATTAAATTATAACTTATAAATTTTATTTTGATATAAAATAAAAATTATTGTTTAATAAAATTATAAAGTTTAATATAAAAAAAAATTTTAATTTTTATTATATTTTATAGATCAGTGCAAAAAGATTTATATTTCAATATAAAAATTAATAATTATTTCTAATAAAAATTATTCAAATTTTAATTAATCTTTATAATTTTTTTATATTAA